GAAAAACTGAATGCACTAGCTTAGAGCTGTATTATCTCTTTTTAGTTCTGACATATGGATGCAACTGCAGAGATACAAGGACAACCAGTTGTTAGCAGACTACCTGCCAGAGAAGTCAGGCTGACATGGCAAGGTGCAAAAGCACAGTAATAACAATGCCATTCTACAAGTTTTTTCTTGAAGGAGATGGTATATTATTGCCCTCAACATTCTGAAATTAGGAACTGAAAAAGTGTATTATTGCCCTTAATGTTCTGAAATTAGGAACTGAAATTATGTTCCTTCCAGATTTCAATATAAAAAACTGCCCAGGTACCTTTCACCAAAGAAAACACTATAAGAAAACTAGTGCCATTTGTCTGGGACTTACTGTCACACTACTTTGGGTGGATTTTTCTGGTTATTTAGTTCTAAATTATTTCTTTTTCTGATTCACAATAAGGCCATTACATAAAGAGTGTGGTAGCAAAGACATTTCACATTTGAAAAATATAATCCTTGACAGATATTTAACAACTGTTCACAAAGTAAGTTTTTGATTACTCTATTACAGAATCACAGAAATCACAGAAACACTAGGTTGGAAAGGACCTTCAAGATCATCAAGTCCAACCATTAATCCAGCACCACCATGTCCCCTAAACCATGTCCTGAAGCGCCACACCCACACGTTTCTTGAACACTTCCAGAGATGGCGACTCCACCACCTCCCGGGGCAGCCTGTTCCAATGATTGACCACGCTCTCCATAAAGAAATTCATCCTAATATCTAGTCTAAACCTCCCCTGGCGCAACTTGAGGCCATATTACTCACACTACAGAAAGTTGAAAACTAGTCATCATCATCTAGGAGACTGCAGACAGATGACCAAGAAGAGAAGAGAAGGTATTTGCTCGTACTTTCATTTAGAAATACCACTCTTTTCAAAAGAAGAAAAAGAAAAAATCTTTGCTTTATTCTCATCTCCATCTTGTGGCAATACTGTGTAATGACCCCTCATTGTCTCTACAAAACTACTTAAATTCCAATATATGCTAAAAATAGAACTAACTAACCAAAGTCTTATTTTACATTCCCATAGAACACTAAAGTCTATCTCATAGACTCAACGCATCACACCACCCCACATATTAGCAGTCACATTTTTGCAGAATTATTAATTCTGGTTTACAATCACAATGACCATAGTTTAAGCAAAAATTAAAAAACCCTCTCGTTTAAAGAAAAACAGTAGTCCTACTTCAGACATTCCCATGAATTAGCTGCCTATTCCAGACGAAACTCTACCTTTCTCCCACTGCTGGGCTTATATCTGACTGCCTTTCACCCCTCTCTCAAGCATTCTTCCCAGTTTAGATGTAAATACACCTTGGAATTATAAGAGACTTATAACACTCCTTGCACCAAGGACAAAAGGGCATTATCTCAATCGCCACACTTGGATGCTGTTTAGAAACACTGCCATACCTGAGTGGCTACACTTTTCATTTTACTGACATACTTAACCAAGATTTCAGGGAGAATTACTGTCACAAAGGGAAAAATGGGTTAAGTTGTCTGACATTTGTTAGATGATAAGTGAGAAACTCCATTTGACTTCTCCTGATTATTATTATAAGTAGATTTAAAGATTTTAAGATTATTATAAGTACATTTAAAACAAAACAAAAAACCCCCAAAACCCCAAACACCACTGGCAAACTATTATGACATCTCCAATAATTAAAATTATTACTTTGATCAAGAACACGTTACTGCCTTATGGTGTTACCTTAATGTAACCTTAATCCTCCATTTTATTTTTTTAAAAGCCCATACTTAAAATCCCCCCAAAATTAACCATACCACAAAAGCATAACTGCATACAATGTTGCTCATTCTAGTGGAAAAAGAGTGCAATATGAAGATGACAGCTTTTCAAACTGGGAACATAAAGACAATATAAAAAATGTTTCTGAAAAGTAGCATTAATTTAAAAATACTGAGAATTAATTCAAAGGAAAACTCTGTAGACTCAAAAGCACAATACCTGAAAAGCAGGCTCTTCTCTTTGTAGATATGGTAACAAATTGGCCAAACACTTACAGCTCTTCGGCTGAACCCTGCCCTTAAAGTACAATGGTAACTGTAATGATATTTCTGTGGAATCAAGCTCTAAACTTCATCAATTTTCTTTCCGATTCTGATGCAAACACAACAAAGCCGTATGTTTACATTTTCTAACAGTTAGGAAAAACATTTAAGACCTAATAACATTTATTTTAGAAAAGCAAATCGCCATACTGAAGTCCATGTAAAGTATAAGATTTAAAGTATTTATTTTCTGATGGAAACAATTACTTGGTTTTCGAGACATATTTTGAAAACTTACTCTACTGCTTTATTAAGTTTTTCTGCTGATAAAACTGAATCATCTGGAGTCCTGCGCCGTTTCTTCAGCATTTCTTCCTCGGCTAGGTAAAGATGTTTCAAGTGCTCTGGATAAGTATCAGTAAACTGATTATCCTGTTGTGAATGGACATTTCTTCTCTTTTTCAGCAATTTCCTGTATTGTCTTTCAATTTTTTGTTTTCTCCGAAATGCAAATCCTCGTCCTGAAAACATAAGAAAAAGGTCAAATGCACCTGCACTGAAGTAATGCCAAAGCGTTTAATTATTGTGAGGACCATTTCAACCCATATTCTGCGCAAAGTAGAAAAAAGCACTATTTGTTCTAATTTTAATAGGGACCAGTCAAAAATTCAAGGGAACAACAGTGTTATAAATCTGTTCCCTACTGTAACATTGCAGCCTGTTCAAATTTACTGAAAATCATCACCTAAACCTTTGAGAGGCACGGCGGGAAGCCAAGGGTCGCGACCAGCGGGGCAGGGCCAGGCCTCCCTCGGCGCCGTCTCTCCCACCACGATGCCATCCCA